TTTTACTTTAACCATCTAATAATAATAATAATAACGCACACACTCAACATAGCCCCGCACTAGGGAAACCCTGTGTCGCGGGTGCCATGGACACACATATAGACAACAACAAATTACACCCAAACTCACGAGAGAAATAATTGCAGGCCATACAAATATTTCTCCCGGCCTTGGGATTTTTCATCAAAGGTAATACTGGATCCCAAACTGGTGGCACGGTATAATCTGCTGAAATTAGATTTTTGTTAATTTCAGAGGCCTCTCGCAGCATCCTGGGTAAAAACAGACTTCTTTTGTCGTTGACCTGGATATGTCAAATTGAATGTGTAGCTTTATCCATAACCTTTTTACTACACATACTCGCTAAAATCACTGATAACTTATGTTTTGACTATCATGAATTTCCCAATGTCGTTTGAGAAAAAGGTCACCCTACTTGATACCAATGCCGCAACAAATCACAACAATAACATCGACATCTGATGGATAGCGAATCTCGAACTATTCAACCCGCCGACTCTATACGATAGCTTTCGCACCTAATAGATTTCTCATTACTCTTGTCGGAAAGCATAAAAAAGTTACGGATTTTAGCTGGGCAATTACCAGCTTTCTTATACCTATTGATTTTATGGATTATCAGCCCATCGCACTGCTGGACATAGGCCTCACCCAATGTGCGCGGTTTCGCCCGGGCCTCAGTTTGTAGCATCTATTTGCTGCCAGCAGACTTTCGCAGATCGTCATTCCATCTGGCTAGAGAGCATACTACATAGGGCGCACTATAAGTTTCCGGAATTGGCCACTTACATAAACAATATTGAAAAAGTAATTGCATTTGAAAACGGAACTCTTTGGCTGTAGAATGTATTCTAAAAAACAAGTATTGATTGAGTATTGAAAAACAAGTATGTATTGTAAAAACAAGTGACAGACAGATGAAACAGACTACAGTTTATTTCATCTAACTGGCATTTTAGAAATTGGTTGTCTACACCATTGATGTAACTCGTCAAAATTTTCGTAGTATGATTTTCTACGACTTTGAGTGTAATTTAGCAGCTCAGTGGAGCTTCGCTCGGCTTCAAACTGTCTTTGGCGATGAAGCACCATGCAAGACGACTAATAACTGGTTTGTAGAATTCAAATGCGGTCGTGTAAATCTCAGTGACGAATTTCGTGATAGTTGCCCGTCCACTGCTGTAAACAACACAAACATCGAAGCTGTGCGCCATATGATCAAAACGGACAGGCATGTGACATACCATGAGATTTGGACATATTTACGCATAGGCATGAGTCAAATACAATCAATACTACATAATCATTTGGGTGTGAAAAACTTGTGCTCTCGGTGGATCCCACACAATTTGAATGAGGCTCAAAAAACGGATCGCATCACTTGGTGCAATGCCATGCTTACCAGATTCAACGAAGAGGCGTCAAATTTGGTGTGAGACATAGTAACAGGTGACGAAACATGGATTTATGTTTACGAACCTAAAACAAATCAGCAATCGAGCGTATGGATTTTTCGACATGAGCCGAAACCAACCAAAGTGGCGCGCGTGCAAAGTGCCTCTAACCCGATGATTGCTTCTTTTTTTAATAAAACTGGACACGTCGCTACTGTCGCTTTGGAGAATCGTTGTACCGTAAATAGTGATTGGTACACGATCATTTGTTTGCCGGAAGTTATTGACAAACTATGTAAAA